CCTCTTCGTTGCTCTTCTCTGCACTCTTTCTAAATAAGACTGCTAGATTTCAACTTTTTGTCCTTTGTCAAATCTCGTCCTCTGGAGCTCTCAGATGAGACCAAAGGTTTTTAAAATGACCTCTCTCTGCTATAGCTAAAACAGAAGAAAGCAATAAATGCCATTCTTTCCTTCTTGTCCTAATTTGTGATTTTTCTCCTCTGTTGTTAACTTCGAATGGACGCTACAGTCGAGAACTAATAATAATAATAATAATAATAATAATAATAATAATAATAATAATAAAAAATGCTAGGGATGCAATCCTGTGCTTTGAAAAAGTTTGAACTATTAAAAAAACGTCAGCACACTGATTTTTTTTAAAGAAAAGGCAAACTTCAATAGACTGGATCAAAGAAGAAAATGATTTCAACTTTCAACGTAAGTGGATTTATATCTACTGCCCACCTAGTCTGACCACTAAGTATGCTATGCCTGGAATTTGTATTCCACAAAACCAGCGGGACACACAAGGGCTTTCACATTCTTTCCCCTACACCTTCGCGATTTCGGTAAAATAGCCTTATTATATTTGATTGAACTCAAACACACAAGAACGATGTGATGTTTCTCTGCCCAATCTTTTTTTTTTTCTTTTAGCTTTATTTTTCACTCATTAGGGAGCAGATGGACTTATGTGACATAAGGACAATTACTACACAGCCAGGCTAATTTAGACCAAGTCACGCAGTTCCCACCTTCCTCATACTGAGGGGGCTGCCACAGATAAAATGATGGTGACAGGCTAGCTGACAAGAGCTCGCAGATACAAGAAAGGGCAAATATTAGCTTTTAATTGAGATTCTTGCTGCTGCTACAGTATTTTTCTGCTGAGTTCCTCTGGGGCTCTGGGCCTTTCCATCATCAGCATCTTAGCAGCTCTGCCTGTTATGCAGCTGCTTGTAAGGCAGGATGGCGTCACCGGAGAGTCAGCTGCCATTCAGGGGCCAGCTGCTGGCATGGCAGGCCGGACCCAGGAAGGCCGTGTGGGGATCAGGGTGGATTGCCACAGATCCACAAGTTGGCCTAGAGAGCCGAATTCCAGGCAGCCTGAATGCAGGAACAGGCTCCCTTCACAAAGAAAGCTGCACAAAGCAGGCAAGGGGGAATTTTTTTATTATTATTATCAGGGAAAACAGAATTATTTAGAATATTTAAGAGCGGAGTGTACAGGTGGTCCTCGACTTACGGCCACAATTGAGCCCCAAATTTCTGTCGCTAAGTGAGACCGTTTTACAACCTCCCTTGCCACAGTTTACAACCTCCCATTTTACGACCTCCCTTGCCACAGTTAAGGGAATTGCTGTTGTTCAATTAGTCACACAGTTAAGTGAACCCAGCTTCCCTGCTGGTTTTGCTTGTCAGGAGGTTGCAAAAGGGGATCACGTGACTCCAGGACACTGCAACCGTCATAAATATGAGTCAGTTGCCAAATCTGATCACGTGACCATGGGGATGCTGCAACGGTCGTAGGTGTGAAAAACGGTTCTAAGTCACTTTTTATCAATGCCGTTGTAACTTTGAAAGGTCACTAAATGAATGGCTGTAAGTCAAGGAATACAGACCCATCACTTTTGTCCAATTTGTAATGGTGAAGCCTGATTCTACAGTTGATGAAATTCATTCCCCCCCACCCCACATTAATCTACACTTGGTACCCCATAATGACAAAGTAAAAACAGAAGTTTAGAAATGTCTGCAAATTTATTAAAAAGAAAAAAAAAATCACATTGGCATCAGTATTCAGACCTTACTCAATAACAAAATTGACAACAGTGAAGGGGGTCTGAATATTGAGTGCACTGTATGTATATGTGTGTGTGTGTATACACACGCATGTACGCACAGAGTACATGTGTATGTATCTCTATCTCTCTATCCATCCATCCATCATCCATCATCCCTCCTTCCCTCCATCTCTATCTGTCTCTCTCTCTCTCATCTCTCTCTCATCTATCTATCCATCCATCCATCCATCCATCCAATCTATTTCTCTCATCCATCCATCCATCTACAGGGTGTGTAAATACACACATAGCAGAAAGTCTGCTTTATCTGCAATACAAACCGGTTTGTGTGTTCCAAGGTCAACAATGGGAGCCTCACAGGAGGTGTCGCTTGCGCTACTGAGCTCAAGGTATGCGTAACTAGCTGCTCTTGCACACCTCTCAAAGTCTGGGGGCCTTTGGTGCTTTGGGAAGATGAGAAATCGCTGCAATACATTCCATTACCCAGCTCTAAACTTCGCCACAGACCCGGCGTGCCTGTGCTGAACCCCGGGTAATCTCCATTTCTGCCCATTTTAAGGACACCTGGGGAGACGGGAAGGTGCCGCGCAAGGAAAACGCAGTTGAAAGGATTTTGGGACCCCGCCCCGCTCAACTCCTTCAGGAGGACCGCTTCTTCGGCATAAGACCAAGTTTGCAAAATCAAAGCGATGACACCCGAATCAAATCCAAGTGATTTCCTTTGGCACTTAAGATTTCTCTTTTTTTTCTTTTTCTTTTTCAAAATTGCCAGGAACATGATGCCAAATGGAAAGGGAACCAATTGCAGGGCCTGCTACAAAGATTCCTGTGTGTTTATTTCAGTCGGACCAGGTCAAGCCGTTCTGAAGCCAGCAGGGCTTTGTGGTATTTTGAACCACCCCTGACTTAAAACAAGCTCCATTTTAGTCAGTTATGTATTTCCACCACCCGTCTAAAGGAAAGTTGTCTCCGCCAATCGTGGTCTTCATTTATGGCTGGTATTTTCAGTGCCGCCACGATTACACGCCTCTAGGTGGCTCATAATCAAGTCATCAAAACCAATAAAGCGATCAACATCCCAGGACTTCTCGTAACAACACCAGTGCCCCCTTCGAGTGGCCCACTGCTGATTAGAGGGGAAGGGAAGGCGACATGGGTTGACAGAGGTCTGCCCCCAAAAGCCATGTTTTAACCACTTTCCCAAATGGGATTGAAGTGGGAGAGGGGGGCTGGTATGATTGGGGAGGGGGGTCACATGTCAGAGAGGCTGGCCATTGGTCAATTTAAGGGGTTGGTTATCCTGAGCCCTTGCTTACCCTGTATAGGTCAAATATAATTACAATATATAATGTTCTAAAGCCAGAATCCTGGACAGAATCCTGGAAACCGGTATAATGATCAGCAAAATCCGTGAGAAAAATCAGCACACAGCTGGCAAAATAGGTGCTATGTGGCTGCATCGGCTTAAGGGGGCCTGGGTGGCCTTCTCCATTTTGCATTAATTGCCAATTCTTGGGTAACATTTTTCTCCTGAGGAAGCTACAAACCCCGTGCCCCTCTGAATGACAACAGATGAAATGAACAAAAATGATTTGGATCACAGATAGCCTGCTACAGCAGTTTCTGCCCACTTTGGAGACAGAGAAATGGACCCACAAGGCGCAAAATTAATAAAACCGGGCCTATGTTCAGCGATTCAAAACAAGAGACCCTGCCCACACTTACACAAAGTGACAAAAGCAAAATCAAGATGTGTTGTGCTACTATTCCACATAGGAGATGCTGTTCTTTGAGCCGAGATTCATTTTTTAAAAAAGAGAGGTTTGCGGGAGGCTCCTAAGCATCTCTCTCGAGCGCGGGAATCACGGCGCATTCATACACGAGAAATTTTCCCGACACCACGGGGACACCGTTCCTCTTTCCTAGGAATGTAGACCAAATCTAGGCAACCAGATATGCCTGTACGATTTGGAAATCTTCCCCTTAATCTCTCGGAGGGGGTCCTGCCACGACCTTAAAAAGGGTGAAAATAATGTGCTAATCGATTTGAGGAAGCACCAAAACAAGCCTCTGTGACTCCCTCATTGCTCCTGGGGGGGGAAGCAAGGTTTAATGTTACTTGCAATTCCCCCCCACACATCTCGGGACGAAGTTGCTACTATAAAATAACAGTGGGTGGATCCAATTCTTGCAAAGGTAAGTTTTGTCTTCAACCACCACTGCCATGAGCTTCCACCGAAACAAACGGAGGCTCTAGCCTGTCCCTCGTTTTTGCTGCTAACAACTGAACACCATAAAGCACATTTTACAAACAGATTGATCGAGGATTTTGTCTTTGGCAAGGCGCTTAGTCACATCAGTTTATGACCTTTCAAAAATAACGGATTCTTAGGAAATCTAAGGTCGCTCCTGGAAAGTCTGTCGAGAAAACAAAGTCAGACAGGCTGCAGGAGGTCTAACTACAATCATTTCCAGAGCTGTTTCTCTAAAAAAATATGAATAAAAATGAATACGCGGGGCACAAATTCAAGGAAACCAGTTGCGTTCATGTTTGTTAATGCATTCTCTTTCATTCACTCCATGCCCCACAAATATTTCTAGATGCAAATCCCCCCCCACACACAAAAATATTCATTCTTCACACAGGAAACTTACTTTTAAAAATAAGATACCTGCTAAAAATCCTGCATTTATTGCCAAAGTTTTCACATCATTGTTTAGGTGGATCACGCTGACTGAGATTTAAGGAAACTCGTCTAGACCAAAGACACCTAGATTGGGAAGGCTACTCTCCATACTTAGAGATACGTTATTAAAAATATTCTTAAATAAAAGATGATTAGGCATTAGGGCCAGGAATTACCATGATTTTTGGAAGTTTGGGCGCAATCGGGCGCTTATCAAATTGACACTTGGGATAAGGCTGCATCAAAGCTATTTTTCATTCATTTCTGACATGTACAAACATCCATTTTAGCTGCACCTGTGAAAGAAATAAAATGCTAGATAGACCAACGTAATGAAGGAGGTCCTATGTTCTGTCTCTTTTAAAATTAACAGTAAATCATTTCCTATCGTCTAAGGGACCAAATTGGCAAAATCAGCAGCGACTGAGAGCAGGTTGAGCATTTCTGATCATGATTTTTGACTCCAATAAGTCTACAGTTTCAACACACCAGCCAGTGAAATCACAAAAAAGTTTTCTCTAGCTACCTCATTTGTGTTCCAACGGTGTCTCTCTTTTGGTAAACTGGAACATTTTGGTAGACATTCAAGGAGCTTTTTCGGTAAAAAGATTTTTACATGACTTCCGTTGCTGTTCCCATGATCATCTAGAAAGGGAAAAGAAAAAGAAAGTAAAGATGATACCTTTGCGTTGAGAAACAAGCATCAGAACCGTTTTGATATATTCCACACACACACACACCCCGCTGCCCCCAAAGGTCAAATCCATATGCACACACAGGGACTTCCTTCTACAATTTGTCATCTTAAAAATGCAATTTCTGGCATCGTCACTCCCCCCCCCCCCCCCCCCCCTCTACACAAAATAAATGGCCACCGTGGAACGTCAATTCCTTGAAGTCAAAGGGCAGGCTCGGTTTATGGACTCAAGAAATGTAAATAAATACATAAAGACGGAACTTTCCAACTTCACAGCTTTCCACTGATGCAGCACAGGAAAACCTCACTCCTAAAAGCAAATTTAAGAGAATGAAGTTGCAACAAAAGGATCAGGAATAAAGGATGCCCATTTGTCTTACTCCCTGTAGAACTTCACCATGCAGAGAAGATTTTAAGTCTTTTTACACAAAGTAGCCTTCCAAACTGCTAACCCTTCGGGCGTATAAAAATACAGGTAGTCCTCAACTTACAACAGTTCGTTTAGTGACCGTCTGAAGTTACGGCACTAAAAGAAAAGTTGACTTAGGGCCGTTTTTCACACTTATGACCATTGCAGCATCCCCTGGGTCACGTGATCGAAATTCATCTCGTGTTTATGATGGTCGCAGCATCTCGGGGTCACGTGATCCCCTTTTGCGACCAGCTTCTGACCAGCAAAGTCAACGGGGGAAGCCGGATTCACTTAACAACCAGGTTACTTAACAGCTGCAGTGATTCACTTAACAAGTAAAGGTCCTAAAAGGTAAACGTCTTGCTTAACAGCAGAAAGTTTGGGCTCAATTGTGGTCGTAAGTAGAGGACTTCCTGCACAATGAGCACACGGGCCCATTGCCATTCCTCCCAAGCTCTGGTTTAGGGCCATCCAGGCCACAAAGCGAAACCAGCTGATTTTTTACTACTATGCAAAACATTTTCCCTCGTTTGTCTGCCTTCCGTGCAACGTTCCACATCAAAGATCAGATTCCAATCGTTCCACTACGTTACAGTGATAGAACCCTTGTAGCAGACACACAATGTGCTGGGAATGTAAACACAATATGGCGTAACCCCATCACAACTGCTCCAGTTTCTGCCATACGAGAGAAGATGTCTAGAGAGCAGGAAGAAGAGCTTTGTGAAGAGGAATGTGCTGGAAAGAGGATATTTAAAAAATAAAAATGTTGACTGAACTCAAAACCCCAATTCCGTTGCTGGTAATATATCCTGATAAGGATCAATTGAAAACCCATCACGATGCGGATCGAATTTAGCAGCTATCACTTGGGAGGCGAAATTAAATTAATTAAAAAAAAAATCCTTGCAACAAATGTCATATTTTTCTGCTTCCTGCTTTTTTTTTTTAAACAGCAGTTGAATTGAAATATCAAACGAAGGAGAAAAAAATCAATAAAGAGAACAATAGGATTTCGTTACACTTAATTTTGCTTTGATCTGCAGTCGGATGGAGTAAGAACTTATTTTTTTAATTTGGCTTGCAGCCAATCAGATGATTTGAGATATATATACACGTGTTTGTGTGTGTGTGTGTGTGTGTGTGTGTGTGTGTAGATAGATAGATAGATAGATAGATAGATAGATAGATAGATAGTCTGACTCACAAACACAATACAGAAGCCTGATGATGGCAGATGAGATTCTGCCGAAACGTTGCTACAACTTTAAAAGCACAACTATAATGACGTGGGAAAATACCCGAACAAAGCTGAATACCAGACATATAAATATACATACATACGTATAGATATACATATATGAATGAATAGGTAGTCCACTTACTCATTTAGTGACCGAAATTATAATGGCATTGAACAAAGGGATTTATGCTCGTTATTCACACTTACGAACTCTTACAGCATCCCCCTGGCCACTTGATCAAAATTCAGATGCTTGGCAACCGATTCATATTTATGACGGCCGCAATGTTCCGGGGTCATGAGATCACCTTCCAACAAGCAAACTCAATGAGGAAGCAGATTCACTTAATGACCACGTTCTCACTTAACAGCTGCAGTGATTCTCTTAGCAATGGTGGCAAGACCGGTCATGAAATGGGGCAAAAACTCACTTAACAACTGCCTTGCTTAGCAAAAACCCAGAAATTTTAGGGTCAGTTGTACCAAAGGTGCTTTTTTTTCAAGAGGCAACTGGACTTTCTGGTTTTTCTTCTTTGCTTCTCATCCAAGATGATTTTCAGCTCTGACTGGATGGTGGGGAAGGGAAGGATTTATGAATACATAGAAGTGAAAGAAGCTAAACGTCTTGAAAGAAAAAAACAGAAAGTCCAGTTGCCTCTTGAAAAAAGCACCTTTGGGACCACCAGGACCTGAATGACTGAGGATCTCCATAGATATTTAGGGTCAGTTATGGTTGTACACATCCTATTTATCACTCCTGTAGACACTTGCAGGGGGGAAGGAAACTATTTATTTATTTATTTGTCAAACATGTACAAGATAACAAATATAGGTATAAATGTATAGTTCGCACAGATAACCAACTCTGAAACTGCCCAACCGCCCATTAATTTTTACAAAACCATGCGAAAATGACCCACTAAAAACCCAAAGTTAACAATGGCCTTCAAGCGCCCCTCCACCACTGCTGGGCTCAGGCCTGGTCGGAGCATCCTCTTCTAACCCAGAGTAGCAGCAAGTTAATTACGTAATTACAACTTTTATTTGGGGTTCGTCCCCCCCCTTTTCCTTTATCAACAACAGAGGAGAAAGGCCCCTGTGTTCCGTCTCTCTCTCTCTCTCCATAAAGGGAGGCCAGGCGTGCGCTGTACAAGCGACCAAACAGTTTATTTCTCTCTCAATAATAGCTTCACACCAGCTGGGGATGGAGTGTGTTAGAAAATATCGCATTTGAACCCAAGAGACGGTTGATTAATAAGCTCTGCAGGAAATGCGTATTCAAGGGGGCCACGTTTGTTTGGCAAGGAAGATAAAAACGATCCTTCCGATTCTGTCTCAATTTTCGCTTGACGGTTCCTTTTCTTTTTAACACATTTTTATTTCCTTCCCAAGTTATTTTTATGAAGGGTTGCTTAAGAAAAGGAAGATTACATTAAAAAAAAAAAAGGTAAAGAAAAAGTAAAGAAGAAAAGAGAAGGCTCAAAGTGCAAGAGAAAAAAAACCCAGAACGGGGAGTCCTCGGCTTACAACAGATCGTTCAAAGTTACAATGGCACCAAACAGTGACTTACGACCGGTTTTCACACTTATAACCCATATATAGTTGAAACGTCAAAACAGCTGACTCACATTTATGACGGCCGCAGGGTGATCCCTTTTTGGGAACGTCTGACAAGCCAAGTCAACAGGGAAGGCCAGATTCACTTCACAGCCGCGTCACGCCACAACTGCAGCGATACACTTAACAACGAGAAAGCTTTTAAAATGGAGCAAAACCTCGCTCAACCACTGTCTCGCTTTGGCAACAAAAATTCTGGGCTCTGCTGCAGTCGCAAGTCGAGGACTGCCTGTACAATGAGTTGGCAATCTTCTCGTAGAACAATTATGGATCTGCCTTTCACTCTGTGGTATAAAACTCTCTCTCTCTTTCCACAGGCAATAATCCATCCTGCTTCATCATCAAAACCATAAATCTTTTTTTTTCCTCCCCCTGTTCCCATGCAGAAAGTCTGTTAAGGGGGTTTCCACTTTCATTCCTCGTTTTTTTTCCCCCCCTTCTTCTCCTCTCTTAAAAGAATAAAAGCATTTTTACACGGCACACGAAGAACAGCACTGTGGGGAAGGCTTCTAAGATCAGCTACATCAGAGCAATAAATACTCCAAAAATGTGAACTTCAGTACAGAGGGGATCAAATAAGCTTCTCCATCTACACAGTTCTCCACTGGAGGGAGAGGGAAAAAAAGTTGATTTTTTTTTGGGGGGGTGGTGGTGGTTGGTTTTTGCTTCCTTAAATCTGAGCCAAGACTCAGAACACCTTCAAGCAAAAAAAAAAAAAACGTTCCACCTTTGAAACTGTCCACCTGGCCTGGGCGCAGAAAGAAAGATTGCGGGCATTTTAAAACCAGTTTGTCTATTGACCCCTGAATAAAACTATTTTTTAAGATGGGCTTTGAACAGACGCCAAGCGAATAATGGAAGCAAGGCCTGGCGACATTCATTTACTTATGACAATAATTTGCTTACAACAAGCTAAAGTACAGGTAGTTTTCGACATATATTTAGTTGGCTGTTCAAAGTTACAACGGCGCTGGAAAAAAGTGACTTATGGCCGTTTTTCATACTTACAACCTTTGTGATCAAAATTCAGATGCTTACCAACTGGTTACGACCGTTGCTTTTTGCGACCTTCCGACAAGCAAATTCAATGGGGAAGCCAGACTGGGTTACTAAGTTAACAGTGGCAGTGAATCACTAAACAACAGTGGCAAGAAAGGCCGCAAAAGGAGGCAAAATTCACTTAACTGTTTCACTCAGCAACAGAAACTTAGGGCTCAACTGAGGTCGTAAGTCAAGGATAAACCTGTACAGAGCTCTGATCTGGATATAATGGGGGTTGTGCCCCAGTTTTTTGGACAATTCCAGAATGACATGGAGCCTTACGATCCACAACTGAGACCAGAATTTCTGTTAAGCAGGCGGCTGTTAAATGAGTCCCATTTTGCCACGGCTGTTAAGCAGATCGCATGGTCCTTAAGCGAGTCTACCTTTTTCGACTAAGCTTGCCTGCCGGAATCCAGCTGGGAAGGCCGTGAATGGAGACCAAGCGATCCCAAGCACATTTGAAAGACATGTCGGGTGTGGAACCACCCATCCGTGATCGGCGAACTGGCTGTTAAGTCTTCAGCGCCACTGAAGCGGTTGCTAAATGAACGGTTGTTAAGTCGAGGACTGAGCCGTAGCGGGACAATTCTGTGGCTGCCCAGGACAACATTGTGCCAAGAGGGTGCTCCAGT